CCTATGGTTGTGCTTGTCACAGAAACAAAGCAACTCGAAATCTGTGTTTATATGCCTCAGGACTCCACCCTAATCGGTCCAGAATGGCTGCCTTCACTACCAGATAGGAGTTCACCTGTTCATCATCACTTGCTTCCCAGTAAGCTGCCTATGCCTCAGCCATCAGGAATAGTGCTCTGTAGGCTGCCCATGTCAATTCCTCCCAGCTCGCTGTCCTCATCACTCTCTCAAGTGTTTGAAAGAAGGCCTTGTGGTCATCTTCTGGTCCCAACTTCACCAGGCCCGGGGCCAGCAACCTCACAGTCCCATCACCAACCATGTTGCCTGGCGTCTCTTGCTCCAACTGTTTAAAAGTGGGCTTCTTGCCACCTTTGTGGTGCAGCAAATTGTTTCTCCTGATGTTTCTGCTGGTTCACCATCATTTGCATGAGCAGAGCCTGAGTCTGCTGCTGCAGTTCTTATTGCCACTGTATCGCAGCTGTCCTGCTGCTGCAGCCCCATTACTAACAGGCAAATCACCTCCTCCATTTCCCCCCTTAGCTCCCAAACTGTGTGGGGTCACTCAGTATTGCAGGTGGGGCTCTCTCTTCACTGGGCACCAAAGGTCCACTTCACTCTTCCTTTGTATAAGTGCCCACATTCTCCACCATATGTCACAGGGCAGGGCTTCTCCCCAGCTTCCAAACACATGCTGCCCCACCCCATCTTCTTTAAGAATATTTATTGTCCCAACACACGCAAGTAAAAACAAACAAACAGTCCTTTAGCTTACCCTAGGGTTTCATAGACACCCTCCCAAGGGTTTTTGATGATCCAATTTTTTTTGCAGTTTTCCAGTCCCAGCCAGCTCTGCTTCTTTTCAGGAACATTGGGTCCAGTCCAGGGCAACCTTTCTGGGCACCTAGCCCCTTGCTCCACAGCCCCACCACTGGCCCTCTCCCCCCAGGCACAGGCTGCCCCAATCACTCTTCCTCTTCCTGCCCTCTGACACGTCTTTATAGCCCTGCCCCCATTTAATTAGCTTACTTGGGCTCACCTACTCTAACAGAGGAGTTGGGCCTGGTCTATTCACAGGGACCAGCTACTCTGTGACAGGCCCAAATCATGTAAATGTTCCAAACAGGGCCCAATCCTCCAAACACTACCAGATGTAGTGTTTACTGCCATTGAAGTGTTTGTAGAATTGAGTACTAGATTATTTTTGTTTAAAAGTTGAGGGAAAGGTTGCATTTCTGAAAAATAATATATAATATACATCCCTTATAAACAAAAAACACTCCATTCCACAGTAAATGGCCCAGCACACTATAGCTTACAACAGTGGTACTAAAGACCATCATTGCAAAAATGACTGGTAAATTGGGCACCCAAAAAATTGAGGTGCCCAAAATAGAGTGCGCCCAACCTTGAAGTGGCCTGATTTTCACAATGTGGTTGCTCAGAACTTTCTGAAAATCATACACCTTTAAGGTATCCATAGTCAAGATATGTGCCCAAACCTGAGGCACCCAGAATCACTAGCCATTTTTTAAAATCTTAGCAACAGTTATTATGCATTCAAGAGGGCAGTACGGGACCCTGGATTCACTTACAAATGCTGCTGATTCCTCTTACTCAGAGAGTTGGCGAGAAGCCTTTTTCAAACTTCTAAACAGAGTTATATTTTAGCTATTTAGAAAAACAACAACATTTTAGTTTGAGTTTTCTCAGACAATTATTTTAAACAGGCCTTTCAACAGAAACCTTTAAGTAATGCCTTTGATGTGTTGCCCCGCATATGAATGTTGTGAAAACATCTGGAAAAAAAAATGAATATGGAAATCATTTGGATTTTAACTGAAAGCTGTACCACAAACTAACATTTCACAACCTAAATGATTGCCGTATTTTAAAAGGACTGTTATAGATTTCAAGATTATGATTTAGTACAGAACAAATGAATGGCAGGTCCGATTCTGAAGGTTACCATTCTCCTCCATTTTGATAGGAAAGCTAACTGTTGCTAAGCTAAGGATCACTGTAGATCGTAAATGAAATACACCTCTTCCCCGATATAACGCTGTCCTCGGGAGCCAAAAAATCTTACCGTGTTATAGGTGAAACCGCGTTATATCGAACTTGCTTTGATCCGCCGGAGTGCGCAGCCCCGCCCCCCCGGAGCGCTGCTTTACCGCGTTCTATCCGAATTCGTGTTATATCGGGTCGCATTATATCGGGGTAGAGGTGTATATCATTCGTTTTTGTACACCCAACATTATTCTTGGAAGCATTTTTTTAGCAGTTTTATTCAGCTATTTCCCTAACAGACAGTTCTAAATAATGCCCTTTTCTGTTACATTTTGATCTACTTGCCTGGTGCGCGTGCACGTACACAAGGAGCCAGCACTGATGTAGTTTCTTAGAAACTGACAGCAGCTGTGTTAGATTAAACAAAAGCTCTCCATGATACTTATCTTTTTAACTTGGCACCAGCCTTTCCATTACTCTATATACAGTTTTGTTTCTAACACTTGAGTGGATGCATATAACTGTGGGAAGTGTTTGAAAGGCTTGTATGAAAAGATCATGTTACAAAACTGTTTTAGTAGGACCAATTTTCTAAGTGTTTTACTCTCATTTTCTTTTGATATATGTTTAAGAGAGTGCGTTAAGTGCAAGGAATATTCCAGCTTGCATGGAACAAAATCAGTTCCCCAGACGTATTTGAAGAGAACTAGATTTATTAAGTAAAACTGGATTTGGTTTGCTTTTGTATACATTTAAATAAGAATTCTTGTGAGCTGTGAACCATCTCAACAGGTAAAGTGCACAACAGCAGCAATGAATGATTTAAGTTAGAAAACGTCCCGGTGAAAAATATTAAATCTCTATATATTTTTTTTAAATAAAGTTATGGGAACCTAATTCCTGAACATGAGCAGCAAAGAGGCAGTGTGGTCATTGGAACATAGAAATTGCCAAAATGGATCACACTGACAGTCCATGTAGTTCCATATCCTGTCTCACAAAGTGGCCAATATCAGATGCTTCAAAGGAACATGCAGGAAACCTTCAAGAGGAGAATTATGGGATAATCAGCCCATAGGGGAAGTTTCATTTCATGTATTTTTTGCTCTTGTATTATTTTAGATGGTAAATAGGAGTGCCTAAATTATCTTCTCCAGACCATTCACTATTCTGCACAACTTTGTCATGTCCCCTCTTATTCATTTCCTCTCTACAGTAAAACCCAGTCTTTACAATTGCATCTAATCATTCCACTGCTGCTACATCCTTTTGGATGCAGGGTGGCCAGAACTAAATCGCCCTCACGATTGGAATAGTGTGTTACCACTGATTTACACCTGGCATTACAATATTTTCAGTATTTCAATCCCACATTGTAACAATTGGGGGGGGGGTGGAGGGGATCACAGCATCATATTGGCCAGAAGTTTTCATTTTGCTGTCCACAATGACCCCCAGCTCTCTTTCCTGAGTGATTATATATATTTGGAACCCAGCAGTATATACCAATACTTCAAAGTATTCATTCTAATGTATATTATCTTGCATTTGTCAACAATGAATGTAATCCACCATCATGCTGCCTATTTTCCTAGTTTTGTCTGAAGTTCTTCAATCTTCTGTAGCCAATGTCTAATCCACAATAGCACTTTACTTAGTCAAAGGATTTTTGAAAAAGTCTAAGCAAGTTATAGCAACTGGTTTTCCTTTACCTTTTTATTTTGTTGAAAGGCTCAAAGAATTCAAACAGATTAGTGAGGCATGATTTGCTTTTGCAGAAGTTACGTTGGTTACGCCTCGTTACATCTAACCATCTAGATGTTTTATAATTCCATTTCAGGGTATGGGTTTCAGCCATTTTATCTTAGGTCAGGTTCATCCCAATGCCTTTAAAAATAAATAGGTACAACCTTTGTGATCTTCCAACCCTTCAGGATAACAGCTGATTGTAATGAGATTGTTAACAGTTCAGCCACTTCATTAAGTCCCTTCTGAATTTCTTGCTCTTTAATTTGTCACTCTGTTCTAGCACCTCCTTTGATTTCAGTCTCTGACAGAACTTCATCTTTGTTACCTGAAAGGGGTAGAATGTATACCACCAGTAGGCATTTTCCTAAAAACCCCTGTTCAGGTTGACTGAGCTCCAGGTTAGCTACCCAATGTACTAAAATCTAATTCTAATTCTGCCACTGGCCTTGCAGCATGGTCTAGGGCAAGACACAATCTCTCTGCTTCAGTGTCCCCACGTATAAAATGGGGGTAATACCTGCCTTATGAGGGTATTATGAGGTCTAATTTATCTGTGTTTGTGATTTAAACCTGTGAAAAGCAATAGCAGTGCTAAGTATTACTGCTAATATGACACTCCATTCAGTCATCCCAGTGCAGAGGACCCCTCACAAAGACCTAGAGATACTTAAATCCTTGCTTAGCGCTGACTTTAAAAGCTTAAGTGGGGGTTAAGTTCCCTGAAGAGCCTTGCACCAACTCTGCTCAACAGGGTGAATTTCAACTTTGGCCCAGTGCTTAAGCATGTAAAACTGACACTTATAAACCTAAGCACCAACGTAAGTGTCCAAATGCAGGATTTGCTGCCCTGAGTAGGGGCCCACACTGGAAAATCAAGCACATAATCAGTGTCAGTGGAGAAGGCAGATTTTATGGCCAAAGTAGACTGTGTCCGCACATGTTTTACAGACATCTTGAATTTTAACAAAAAGCTATAAGTAATGTTTGTTTAATTATTAATGCCCAAGTCCAAGAATAGTTTAATTCCATCTTCCTCTGATTCTTAATAAAGTCTTTTAAAACTACCCTCAAGGGCTATGTTTAATAGGCATTGAATGCAGATGCTCCTGTGCTTCCGAAGCATGTCTGAACAATTTCATTTTAGCAGAATGGTTAATGGGGTGAACCAGCCTCTGCTGGGCACATTCACCCAGTTTACTGGAAGTTTACTAAAAGTCCACCTTCTTTTGCCTTTTCTTCTCCAGGTCAGAGGTTCTGAAGCTTCAGCTTCCTTCAAGAGGCAGCACAAAGCAAAAAGAAGGAGCAGCACTACTGGATGGAAGACACTGCTTATTTGCTGTGCAACTGGATCGAAGCTCACCCACTGGGGGAGCAGGGATGTCAGAGAATGGTATAGAGAATCCTTATAAGTGCAGAATCCCTAGTTATTCTATTTCCTCAATGATGTGTCAGATTCTCAGCAGACAAACCAATATTTGCTTTAAAGATTTTCAACAATCAAAGCCACAGACTAATTCTAATGAATTTTGAAACCTTAAATAAAAAGTCAGCTTCCCCTCAAAAAATGTCTTATGTTTATTAAAAACCTGAACATGTCACTTGTAACTAACACTCAAAAGAATCACCTGCTTTTTAGAATTCACTGGATCAGAGTGACTTTTTTTTCTTGCTTATTAGTAAGTGGTCTTAGCTGCTGTGTGAATAATACCCGAGAACTTCAAGTTACAGTTAATATTCCACACAGACTTTTTGAAAACTACCTTATCCCCTATGTAATTTTGAATGATCCAACTGGTTTAGAGCATGTAATGCTAACTGCTGCTATAAACATGCCGTTTTGCTGCAATTTCCCCTGGGAATTGCATGTACTATGGTTCCGAAGTCTCGTAAAGCCATTAGGTCTCCCAAGACTGGTTCTAGTTAATAATTACCCAGAATACCACTGGATTTCTACATAGGAAAGAATTATAGGGACTCTGGATGGGATGACAATTTCGTTGGCTCGTTTACATGCTGTCATGATGAGAGCCATTTAAGAAAGCTGTCTTATTATCCTAAGGTCCTTCATCCTGGTAATGGTTTATATGCCAAGTAGACAGCAATTGCAAACTTAGAGCTTGAATTTCTCTTAGTGATGTTGGACACATCTACAGCCAAATGAAGACAAATGTCAGGCTGCTTAGGAATTAACCATGAGCAAGAAATTGTGCTACAGAAGAAATCCATTGAGAAGAGATTTGGAGGTGAACAGCTAAATTTGAGGTCTGAAGTGTATGCCTGGAAGTGTGATACCTCCAGAGACAGAGAGAGATGTCATCAGAGTCCTTGATTATACAAAATGAGCAGGTATTTTGTTCTGCTAGAGTGCAGCTGTGCGTATGAGCAGGGCCGGCTCCAGGGTTTTTGCCGCCCCAAGCGGTGCAAAAAAATAAATAAATAAATAAAGCCGCGATCGCGATCTGCGGCGGCAATTCAGCGGGAGGTCCTTGGCTCCCAGCGGGAGTGAGGGACCGTCCGCCGAATTGCCGCAAAATAGTTGGACCTGCCGCCCCTCTCCGGAGTGGCCGCCCCAAGCACCTGCTTGGCAAGCTGGTGCCTGGAGCCAGCCCTGCGTATGAGTGTCTGTTAGGTAATAAGAAGTGCTTCTAGCATGATTTTCTAAAGGCATCTCTATACTTTTAATTTGAGTTGAATATAACAAAACAGCTAGCATAGGCCTGATCTGATTGCTTTGTGGCAGTGACTCTGTACTACCATGTGAGAGACTTAGACTATAGCTACACTACAGAGCTTTACAGCGGTGCAGCTGTGCCGCTGTAGCGCTGCTAGTGCAGACACTCTAAGCCGACGGGAGAGAGCTCTCCTATTGACTTAACTCCAGCCCCCATGGGCAGCGGTTGCTATGTCAGTGGGAGAAGCTCTCCCGCCGACCTAGCACTGTCCACACTGGCGTGTAGATCAGTGTAATTTACGTTGCTCAGAGGGGTGGCTTATTCACACCCAAGTGAGATAACTTATACCAACGTAAGCTGAAGTGTGTACATAGCCTTAGACTAGTTGTTCAACTGCACTCAGGAGATGGGTAGTTCAGACCATGCACTGATCAACATCTTCTCGAACAGACTGAAGGGAGGCCCTTAAAAGTCTGTAAGTGGTGTCCCATCCAATTCTCTGCTGGAAAGATGATGGCCTTTACATAGGCTGTTTATGATGGGGTGGGGGTGAGCTGAGATAGGGTGTAAATCCTCAGGTCTCCCATGGGAACACATTTGCATAAGTGAAAAGATCTTTACTAATGGATCTAAGATCTGTACACATTCACAACCACCCAATTTTTACATGTGCTATTTTAAAATTCCGAAATCCTAGATGAAGAGCTGACCAGAGATTTGCAAAATATTCAAATGCAAAAATACTTGAAATTTCAAAATTTTCCACATTGTTAGGAACTAAAAAATGAGCCCATTTTCACACAACATTTTGTTAAAGTAGGCACATTTGTAATGCAAAGACAGGCCTCATTTCCAAGCTAAAATAACCTATATTTCTAGTTTAAATGTCTTTCCTATCAAGAATGATACAAAAAAAATCATATTCACACCTTTACAATATGAAAATAGACATTTTCTCCAGTAAAGACCAATTTGGGTGTGCAAGTACAGGAGTGACAAAAATCACTCAGAATGAAACTGGAAAGTTGCACGAACAAAATTAGTCAGCTTCACACAGCTCTAGGGTTGGCAGGTAATATGATTTCATGCATTACAGATGTATTTTTGTAGGTCTTTTATAAATTTTAATTTCTCATTGCAGAAGAGTATGTGTAACTATTGTTGAACAACATGTGATTAGAGAATTGGATTTAACAAGCCTGAGAATATTTGTCTTATTCAATTTATATGGCTGTTCAGAGTGCCATGTAAGAAATTTCACGTCTCTCTGGTTTCCAGTCCTAATAACCATAGGCAGTAAAGGACATGTAAAAAGTAGCGTCTGCTATGTCATTCTATTGTGATGACAGTAGTGGATGTGTAAGTGGACATGTTCATTTAGAGAAAGTGGCATTTCCATGCATGGAAGAAGTAATAAGTAGTGGTTCAAATGTGCAGGCATTAGGGCTGCTTGAAAGTTTGTGTCCTCCCCCCCCCCCCCCCATTTGTAAAGAGCTAATCTGTGTATCGCACATGGCATATGCAACACTGACTACTAGAACAAACTAACATCAGTGGCTCATCAACAATTCTGCTACCCCTACAACCACTGTAACCGGGATCCCTTTTGTTACACTCCATTAGCAAAATAATATAAGTGATTATGCAAAAATGTGTACTACTAATGTATCACAGATTGAAGATCTGAAAGGAATTCTTTGTTTTGGCAGTGGGAAGAGTTCTGAAGGAAAAGCAGTTCTAGGAAGTTAACTTGCGTAGCATTAAGCATTGCGATATAAATGTACAGACACTCTATGTAATACTGGAGGGAACCAAGGTTTATTCCTGCTCAGCAGATGAATTATTGATTGTGGTAACCCATCAATTAGGTAAATGGAACTTCATTTGAAGGCAAATGGGATTAGCACGCCACTGTCCAGTATTTTTAAAAAAATAACTAGAAACCAGGTTGCCGTTTTTAATTGTAGAAAATATACCTGACAGAGGAGCTGGTATCGTATCATTTAGGCTTGTAGCCAGGTAAAAGATTAATGTATTGGCCTGCACGTATGTGCAACAACACTGCCCTCTAATGGATAGAATACAGTACATCAGACCTACCCAAATGTTTGTGATTACAGCCCTTCTGCCAATAGAGGGTGAGGCAAAGGGATTACATAACAAGCCCTACCACTAGTGCCAGCTAATGGATATTGTTCTTTAAACTTGAGCAGAAGAGGTCTGTATCTTGAGGATGGCTGAATTTTATTTCCTGGACTGCGTGAACATTGTAGTCTATTGTAACAAACCTATAGGCAGCAGCCTACAGCACAGTTTGGATGCCAACTGAAATAAAATTCAAGTCTACAGACAATTATATAAATCTTCCACTCTCCCCCACACAAGTAGACACAGAAGTAGCTAAGATTAGAACTCTGGTTCTTCAATTCCTAAAACACAAGCTCTTGAGCTCGAGCCTTTAGCTGGTTGAAGATGCAGATCTCATATCTTCTTTTCATGCCTGCCTCTAGAGGGCACCATCACTTGTTCATACACACAAAGCTAATACCTTACACTAAAAACACTAAGTTCCTGAACAGACTATAACTAAATGTGCACATACACTGTACTTGAAATACTGTTTAAGGTTTAAGAACTTTATATTTGTGAGGAAATAAGCTTTATAGATTGTTTATAGATGGTTTGACTTGCTGACTTTGTGGGATAAGGTGCGTGAGCTCATATCTTTTATTGGCCCAACTTTTGTTAGTGAAAGAGACAAACATTCAAGCTACACAGCTCAGAAGCTTGTCTCTTTCACCACCAGAAGTTGGGCTAATAAAAGATATAATTTCACCCACCCTGTCTAATATCCTGGGACCATCATGGCTACAACAACAATACTGCAAACAACAATTGCTAACTACTGAAACCGTGCATTTTAATGATCTGACACTGCACTTTAGTAAAACAATTAAAAATTAAAGACTACATTTAAATTGATTTAAACTGATGTAAATTCAGGGATTAATGCTCAGAACAAAACTATTGCTGATGCCGCCCACTAAATATTTGTTTGCAGTGGATCAAATCTTAGAACCACTAATTTTATCTCAGATGCTGCTAAAAAGTTATGGGAGTATTTTTGTGCTATTATGTGAATATGCCATTTCCCTCTTAAGCATGTTAGATTTTAAAGTGATTCACTTTCACCTAAATAGGTGGAGTTGAGAATTAAGTATCCAAAAGGTGATGAGCATGACCAAGCTTTAGCTCCAGCTAAGTGGCTGTTCTTTTCCCCAGTGGAAGATCAGATGTTCCGTTCTGTGGAGGGCCAGGCTGCCTCAGATGAAGAGGAGGAGAAGTGGATAGGGGACCAGCAATCCCAGATGGCTGAATTGAAGAAACTTCTGGACAGGGTTCCCTGTTGTGGAAGTGGGTATGTTTCATGGAGATTAGTGTTTAGGCTTTGGTTGTCCCATTGCAAATTGTATTGCATGATCTAAAAGATTTCAGAAGTATTGTGGCTTCAGTAAGAAGCCATAAAACTATTTCACAGAAACAAAAGATAGCAATCCCCCAGTCACAGGACACAGACTGGGTGTAATATAGCCACCTGATCCTTACAGGAGTCAGAGAGGAAAGTGAGGTATTGGGGAGTGGAGGGGGAAGGTATGTGCATGTGTCTAAACTTTACTCAATGCTAGAGAAGAAAGTAAAAAGAGGTCTTCATGCTGGAGGGAAATCTTTCTCAATACCCATACCCCAACATGTCACATAAGTCTTTATTGCATAAACAATCATTATGGATTAGAATTCCTTCTGGGAAATCTCCCCCTATTCTCCAGAAAAGATCTTTTCCATCATAATCCTCCTTCCAGTAAAGCCATGGGTGAATAGGCTTTCCAGTCTGCCCCCAGTCTCTTTCCAGCTGTTAGTTCCGGCACCTCAGCTGATCTCAGCTGGCAGCTAAGAGGAGATGGGAAACCAGCATAGTAGGGACCCAAACCATAAAGAACTCTATAGGTCAAAGTCACAAGTTTGAATTTATGAAATGCCAGGAGAACAGCAGGAAATCAGTCAAAGCTCTTAAGCAGATTGACCTTGGCTGGGAGGTTTCGCTAACTTTTCTTTTTAAAACATAGATGTGATGACAAAATGGTGAAGAAACTGATGTCTTATTTTGGGAGCACCAATAATGATGACCATGAGAATGCCACTGTGGAGCTAGCGGAGAGAATCACCACGTTAACTGAACAGCTTGAGATGAAAGGGAATGAAGTGAAAAAACTGGAAACAAACATGAAGGAGGTAACAAGTGCGAGGTTTACATTATTTTATGCACACACAGGATTCTTTTCATAAATATTTTAAATACTCATGTTTTGTATTTACATCTAATTTCTGTTAGCTTTCAACCTTGTTGATGCCTCACCACAATGTCATCACTTCAGGAGCGGGGCCACATCCTAGCTTTCCATGGCAACAGCACTTCCAATATGACTATTGCATAAACGTCCATAGATCTGAAGGACTATACTGTGCGACACAGGCCGTTTTAACAAAATAATGTGTTTAAAATTCTGTCAGATATCCATGTGGATTTAATAGCTGGAAAAGGCGCAGGACTGATAGGTCTGGAGAACAGAGTGCAGAGAGTAGGTGCAGAAAATACAATGTTCCCCTGTGGTATCTCAGCACTGAGTGAAAGGCTCCACATATCCTATTACCAATCTTCTCACCGGTCCCCCAAAATAACCTTTTAAAATACACCTCCAGTTGGCTCAGTTGCAGGTGCTCAACTTAGGTTAAATCTTGCAGCTCACTGACAGAAGGAAAATCTCAACCTCAGCCTTGGGGGGCTGGGGTTACCTCAATTTCTAGCGTGGACATAACTTCAAGGTTCCAAAGACACAATGTGTCGTCTCAGTATCTTCACCTAATCTTATTTAAATGCACAAAACCTCAGCTACTCATCTGTGTAAATGCCACCAGTCTTTCCCTGACAGAGGTATTTAAAAGTAATGAATACAGAACATGGCCCAGATAGTCATCTGTACAACAGAGGAGCAAGTAAGTAGCATTTAATACCTTGGTAGAGATGGAGGGGGGAAAAGGGGAGGAGGAGAAAATGTGGTCATAAACTGCCTTACAACTTGCCCGATTGGGTATGGCAATTCATTTGTTTCTATGCCAGAAATTGTGAATACTATAAAAATGTTATCACCTCACATTGTTTTAGCCTAATTGGTTCCAAAGTTTCATCTGCTTCACAACCAAAAACTGCTGTTTTATGCTCCTTTGCTCAAAAGAAATTGTGGACTTTAGTGTTTTTGGAATGATTTTATTAACCACTAAGGTCTGTTTAAATTCATAGCTTAATCTTCAACTTTTCTGCATGTTGCCACTCAGTGGCTTTTTCAAGATTTCTGTTTCAAGGACATGCTCTCCCCTCCCACCCCCACACACAATGAAATTTGCTGAAGGGGAAAAGTGTGGAAAATGAAAGGAAGACATACAGTGTACTGGCGATTGAATACTGTCAGTACACTGGGTTCTATGACAATGTATCCCTGTAATATTACCTAGGTTAATGGAACGCTTTGCTTCTGTGCTGCTTAAACACCAGCCATATAAAAAGCTAAATCCACTCTGTTCTTACTGATGGTGCCATGTTTACCTCTTTTCCTTGCCTTCCACTCACACTTTTAGATGTATTCATCTTCCTTTTGCAAAGCTAGGAATGTCCTGTTGCCTGCTTTGTAACCTCTGCTGAGGGATACGAGTTCTGTGTAACTTGCTCAGAAAAGGCCCATTATAAATTTTCAGTAGTTATACTAGAATAAAAATATCAGCTTTTCCTAAAAATCATACCAAAAAAACAGATAAACTTCACATTGATTGTAGCATAACCACAAATTTAAAAATCAATATTTGTGAATCAATTTGCTTTTGTCATTACAGTCCAGATTACAGTCCATTACAGTCTAGATTATTTACAGTTCATCTAATGTACTGTATATCGCTGGTATGAAGGCATACTTTTAGTTGGTTGGTTAGCTTGGTGCTACTGCTGCTACAAAGCTCTTTGGCATTAAGAGATAGTGATCTTAAAAGGATCAAAGATCAGTTTTGAAAAAGTGAATGCTCACCTGAACTTTCTAAATCCATAAAAAGTGTGCAGGAAAACTCTTAATACCCTCTCTCACCAAATTAAATACATTTCCTGGTTTAATAAAGAAATCACTGAGAACAAGCTGTCACTTTCCATGGCGTGTTGCGGAAGCTAACACACAAATAGCAACAGGCTCTGTTATTTAGATTTACAAAAACAATTCTGAAAGATCACACAAACAACATCAGCAGGCAGGTGAAGAGCAAGAGCCGCACATATTGACCAAACATTGATCCAATCTAAGACTACAAAAAACAGAAGATTAAAGAGGAGCTAATTTTGATTCATTTTATAGTGAGCTCCAATTCTCAATCACTGAAAAGTCTAAGTACCATCTACCAAGGACAGGTTATTGAAGGTGCCAGGCCTAGATGATAGATTGAGGAAAACATGAGAAAATTCTAAAGCTATATCGGCACTTTACAAAGCTTTGTGCTATGAACAAATGCCTCAGCTTTGCAAGGCCAGATTAATCAAAAAGTAGAGAATTAATTTACACCTGTCAAAAATGCGCCCTTGTATGCAAATAGGTAATCATGCAAGAATATTTCCAAGCACAAGTGCGAGTTTGCACATTTAGTTATGTCTGCATGTGCTTTTCTCTCTCTCTCTCTCTTTTTTTTTAGTACACAGAGATGGAAATGAGCCCCCACTTTTGAGACTGGTCCAGAGTTTTCAAATAGGGACAATTCACTAGCAGATTCTATACCAAACAATGATGAACATAGAAAGAAAGGAGTTCTAGTAAGAAACTACATTGCCAAACCTCTATATCCTGGCTTTGTGTTTCGGTTTTTCTGTCACACTCATCATGTCAGTATGTGAGCACCCCATAAGTAGTAATGAATTTTACCCCATGAGGTAAGGAAGTATTATCCCCATTTCACAGATGAGACAGATTAAGCGACATGCCCACAGCCAACCAGAAAGACTATAAGAGAGCTGGAACTGGAACCCAGAGTCCCAGTCCAGTGCCTTAAAAATCGATCATCCTTCCTCCATATCTATTTTAGGGAACAAGCTATACTTTATTATAGTCATCATCATCTAATTTGCAACAAATGGGGTAAGAGAAGATGATAGATATAGCCTATGTGAAGCAAACTACCTTGGAGAACTTTTTCAACCTACATTGAGTCATCATCTTCAACTGCTGGAGGAACAGTAAAGCACCAAAAGCAACTATAGGCATCTTAGATGTAAACAAAACAGACTAGGGGATGAAGGGAAACTAGCATCTATTTCATAGTAGGAGGTGATAGAGCATCAAGAGGTAAGAACTGTCTTGGGAAAGTTAGTATAATAGCAGCAGACTGGGAGGTACAGAAGAAATAGCACCACAGGCGAGGCTGGGACAAGGAGACAACAGCAGAAATATCCAGTGATATTCTGAACGGAGTATCTATAAAAACTAAAGCAGGTGGTTATCACATTGGACAGCTGAATGCTGGGTGGGCAGAATTAAAGCGGCATGCAAACTAAAGAGAAAAGATTGAGTTTTTTCCAGAAGGGTTCGTTTAGTGACTGAAGGTGAACAACATGGGGGCTGCTGCCTTGCCGTAGCATGCAGCAGAGGACATACAAGTTCATGTGTGTTTTTCCCCCAGTGTGGCTACAGATAAGATGCTCTGAAAAAATCTCTTCGAAGTGGCAGATTTGGTTCCTATTGGTTGTTGATGCAGAGGGCTGTTAAGACTCAGGTTCAGAACAGCTGTGTGTAAAAGAAGCAGCTGCTGCCTAACACATTAGGAAGGTGGTACAGGAGAAGAGGGTCAGAGGGGCTAGAATATTGGGGAAACGTCCCAGAAAATTTTAAGAAAGAGAAGTGCTCTGATTAAGCAGCTAAAGGCCTTTCCTCCCCCCCCCCCTTTCATTTATACATTGCCCCTTTCATTGTACTGATGTGAGGGGAAAATGTAGCTCTGCTTCATGTGTTTGCATATGCCTGTAACTAGAGCCCTGCGCGGATACAAAATTTGTATCCGCATCCAATTCGCAAAAATTATCCACAGATATCTGCGGATATAAATCCGCAGATTTGCAGGGCTCTCTCTGTAATGGGCAGCACCTATGATGTGCAAGATAGCTGCAGTCCAGAAGAGGAAAGGAGGAACTCTGCTAGCTGAAAGAAGCAATAAGATTAATTCACAACAGACAATTCCCTCCCCACAACCTCAGAGAGCATTAATTATGCCTTAGCCTGACTGCTCCCCAGTGATTGTGATTATGTTGGGTGTATGTACAGACAACTATTTGTTTATTTGCTTAGTTCCTTCAAAATGGGTGTTCACTGAGGAACTCTCAAGTCACTATTTGGCAGAGGATATAGACTAAGTCATCCAAACTGCACGTTGTTCTGTAGGGTGGAGGAGCTGGAGGTGCTCACAAAGTAAAGGTCACGTGGCTAATGGAGGCAGCTAGTTTTCAGCTGATGCTGCAGCAAGTGCCAATTAAAACATACTTTTCAGCTGTGTCATAGAAATAAAATGACTTTCTAGAAGGATTCTGTGTGGACCAAGGATTATCTCACTTCTGCATTCTGACCTCATTCGCTCTTGGAAGTGTGGGGGAGGAGTGACGTTTTGCCCAATTAGTAAACGTTGATTCGCATAATATTTTCTGCCAAATAAAATCTAAGTGGGTGTTTAGTTCAAAGCCTACAGTTACTCTGGTACATCTCTCTCTGTCTTGCTCTCTCTCCTCCCCCTAAAGGGGCCCTGTTACAGGGGAAGGGATAGCTCAGTGGTTTGAGCATTAGCCTGCTAAACCCAGGGTTGTGAGTTCAATCCTTGAGGGGGCCATTTAGGGAACTGGGATAAAAATCTGTCTGGGGATTGGTCCTACTTTGAGCAGGGGGTTAGACTAGATGATCTCCTGAGGTCCATTCCAACCCTGATATTCTATATAGCTAAAGATGAAAGATAACAAAAAGAGATTAACAGAACCAGCAAACATGAAATTTATCCCATAGGATTTTGTTCATAAATACAGTAAGAATAAATATATTTGACTTCCCTTTGCAGCAAATAATTGCAAAGAATGATAATATTCAGGAAGGCTGTGTGCTCTGCCTGGGCCTACTAATGAATGGGATATGAGGTTTATTTTGATTTAATTAATTGAAGGACCTTAGAGCTCATGAAAGTCAGAAATTAATATTTAATCTAAGCACTTTTCCAGTAGATGCTTTCCAGGCTCACTTTAATAGCTCGCCCAATGCACTGCATTCCTGACCAGCACTACCTCTCCTAGTCCTGGGCCTCTGGTGAGCAGATCTCTCTAACAGTCCATATTGTGTGGCAGTTTTATGATGCAAACAAGGGGGCTAACATGAGCTCTGAGAGGCCGAATTAGCTAGTGGGCTGACCAGGGGGGCTGAGTGCTAGGAACTCCAGAATTCTGGCTCTGACAAGGATTTGCTGGCTGGCTTTAGACAAGTCATTTAATCTCCTTATTTCATTTTCCCCCATCTGAAAAATGGGAATACCAATGCTCATCTGTCTCTTTCCCTGCCTCCCTCCCAAGATATTATGAAATTAGTTAATGACCAAGCTGTGTTCTGAACTATTATTTCCACATATATCCCAAACTGAGATTTGAACTTGTTTTTACAGAAATGGGAGACAGAGAAACATGGAGCTGGTTACTATTATTTAGGTCACATTAGCATCTTGGCATTTTTCAACCAGCAAGGAAGACACAGTTCTTGTTCCAAAGACAGTATAGCATCTGACAGGCAAGAAGTGGGAAAGGGGATACAACATACAACCCAGGTGATCAGGGTGATGACAGGCACAAGTCCTATTTCTTTACAAATATGAAACTTGTAAGTTAAACGTTGTTGCCCTTCCTCCACAATACTGCCTTCTTGTCTCTCTTCCACACCAAAACCCAGTTTTTGATACCTCATGCCCTGTCCTCCCAACATTTGACATCCTCCTACCACTAAATGAGCGTTTAACTCATAAGAAAAATACATGAAACAAATAAGCAGATGACTCAGACAGTTTCTTGTAAATATCTTGGAAGAAGTAAGTTGTGAGGAAGGATTTAAGACCTTGATTCAGCAAAGTGCTTAAGCAGATACTTAAGAAATCCATCCCTATTCAGCAAAGCACTTGTGCAAGTGCTTAAATGAGGAGAGATTATTAGAACTGGTCAATAATATTTCAACATGACTTTGTTCCATCAAAATATATAGGCTGGTGGCTAGAGCACTTGCCTGAGATGTATTTGTATCTCTCTGGCCTGGCCCACAAAATATTTAATTACTTTTAGAAAGTGGAACAGCTCCAACAGGAAAGACTGGGAGAGAAACTGATTCTATAGCCTGATGGTTAGGATGCTGACTGGGAATGTGGGAGACCCAAGTTTTATTGGTTACTGGCCAGTCCTAGAGACTGGCTTTGGAGTAGCTCAGGAAGGTCCTGATCCAACAAACCACTTAATCACATGCTTAACTTTAAGCACCTGAGTACTTCCATAGGCTACCCTTCAGCCTGCTTCAGTGCCTTATTCGAACAGGGCTTTCTTGAGATGGTCTGCAAACCACTGACCTCTCCCCATTTAAGCGTGTGGTTAAATGCTTTGCTGAATCTTAAAACTTTCCCCAAGACTCACTTTTCCCAAGATGCTTACAAGAAACTTGCTAACTAAATCACCTACTTATTACTTTATTTAATAAGTCTGTGTTCTATGCATAGTGGATGGGGTAGAAAAAAGTGTGAAGATAGTTGTGAGAAAAGCAGAGCCCTCTGCATTATCCTTCTTTGAAAAATATAGATATAAGAAAGGCTGAAGTACAGAATTCAGAATGAGAACAGTTACAATTTCTGAGTAGTCTGGTTACACCAAATATTGAATGAAATATCATGAAGTAGAAGAGCAAATGCATCTCCTAGCAGCTATTTATTCAGCGCCTTAAAGAAATGTAGCAATAGAACAAAGTGAAGAATTTCCCATCAGAACAGTTTTCTGGAGCAAACTGACATTTACCAGATTGGATGAAAAGTTAACTTTGCGATTATTGTGCAAGAGAACAAAAGCTCCAGTGCTTTTAACTTCCTGTGTCGTTGTCCAGATGAAAGGCCCATTGCTAGGTGAACTGCAACAAAAGGTGGAGGAGACTGAATTGTTGAAGATGGAGCTACAGATGTTGGAGACTGAGAGAGTTAGGCTGTCACTGGTGGAAGAAAAGCTCATGGATGTTTTACAGCTTCTTCAACAACTTCAAGACCTGGTACGGCAAGAAAGTAGTCCAAAGAACGAGAACTGGTTTTGATGGTGTCCCTCCCAAACTGAAAAGGATGTTTGTACCTTACATCCAAATGCCAGGGTTCCCGTGCATGCAAGACACACAGCTGCACAGCTTTGCCACTGGAACCATCAGCTCCAATGGTTGCATTGCAGCAAAGAGGAAAAGCCTAGAAGCTCTTACTTGTGACTTTCCAGTATAGATCTCCAAACTCTCCCCTCCCTCCAAACAAAAGTTTGGAATCATAGTAGTTTCAGATTTTCTAAAAATCCACTAAATCAGGTCCAAGCCCCTTTCAGAGCAGGATTTAGTCCTCCAGAAGAAAATGCATCAAATATTAAATTGATAGCATAGGACCCACCCAAACACCCAGTACATCTAAGATGCTGTTCTTTGGGATCATACCTACATCACTGCATGGATTGCTCTGCAATATGGATTTGTAAGGATCAGTCAATATTTGCAGAACCACATCATGATATTTTCTCAAAGGCTGGGTGTAGGGTTCTCTTTATTTCAGCTGTCTTCTGGAAGGAGTCTGCTGGGTTTCCACACTGCCCCAGCTTTAGAAATAAATGCCCTCACATCAGATTGACTTCTCTCTCCATTTGGAGTCTCTGGAGTGCACAAGTTAGGCCTGCTCGCCCCCACATCCACAGGAGATATTTTTGGGAATGGGTTAGTGGCAGCCTGACTGCCTTCAATTCAGTAGAAACAGGTCTGAGAAATACTTGTCTGATCCTATTGCCACTACTTTAAAGGGCCTTTGCCTGGCACACCCCAGAATGCACCATGCATAGGTTATGCACCACTCACACATCCACATGTTATTGAAAAAAAGAAATGTAGGAACATAATCCTCCCTTACATTCCTATAACTCTTTTCATTCCCAAGCACTGAAATACCAGCCTGATGTACAGTCAGTGCTGGGCTGAAATGCAGCAGCCAGCTACATTACACAACAGTTCCTCAGTCTTCTAGCACATCCAACTGCATCATATAGGGGCACTAGTGTAGCGAGAAGAGTACAACTTATTGAAGGAGCAAACCTACTTCCTGCAGCACCAGAGATGTTTTTGAGAAGCGTCTCATCCAAGTACTAACCCAGACAGGGGCTATTCAGTTAATCAGAGCTGATGGAATCATAGCACAAAGTGGTTCTTATTTAAAATGTGATGGGTCAGTCCTTCTTAAAAAGCTATTTTAAACCCCTGCTTCAGGCGGAGGGGAGTGGTGAGAATTAGCCAAGAGATGAGCAAGCTGGATAAGCTGTTGAACATGGGGTATGTTAGGAGCTGTACAAGTCTGCATTGCACTTTTAGGAGTTAATTTTTGGATTAGGATTCAGGGTGTCTCCTGAATTTTCAGCAGAGCTGTACACTGTGTATTTAATTAGATTATTCGCGCACATGACTTCACCATGCCTGAAGTGTGCTGGTGTTCTACGCCTGACTCTGGGGAACAAATGCAGTATCTCAAATTATGTTACCTTACTTTAGTACTTGGCATAGCCCATTTTATTTTCACATCCCAAGTCTGACACTGCTTGCCACATGGATCAATAACAATCCAATCCAATGAAGGATGTACTATTAAGCTGGCAAAGAATGACTGATTGTGATTGACAGCAGGCATAAGAACTTTCAGTGTCAAGACTTCGACATGTCATTCACTGGTCAGATGTGTTGTTGAAAATCATTCCAGCTTAGGAGATGATCCATCACGCAATATGCTACACTGTTGTGAAAATACTGCTTGATGCTAATCATTGCTGGAAATATGCCTTTGTGTGTGGCCATGTTCCCTAGCTCCAGTGAATAAAGATGTTAATGAAAAAGATGATTTACAGGATCCCCTGTAGAGCCTGAAGAACATCCCATAGAGTCCTATGGAGGAGGTACATTAGACAGATGAATGAGAAACTACAGTTACAGATTAATAAGTTTTTAAGGCTATATTGCCTCTGTAAATTCACTCTTATGAATACAGCATTCCCAGCATTACACAAGTGCAGGAACCTTCTAGAAAGCTGGGCCAGTCTGGAGCCAAATAAACATCCTCTTGCAGCACTGAATGTTCAGAACAGAGGTTATTCGAAGGGTCATGCAGTCCCAAACACCTGAGTTCCTGTTTTCACTAAACCCAAGGGCTATAGACAAGTAGGACTCTGAAGAGGAGGGGAAGGTGGATGGGACATGTGAATAAGCAGATGCAGTAAGACTTGAACTGCAGTTGTGAGTTGTGCAGTTGTCTTTTTTCAGGAATTGCTTCTGCCTATTGCCACTCCTTGGAGTTTAATCAAAACATCTTGCCCTCTCAGGTAGGTGGGCTGAGGGTGCTAGTTAAACAGACTGCAGGACTGCCTCTCCCCCAAACGAGAGTTAGGTACCGAGTTAAGAGAGTGGTGCTTTCTAAACACCATGTGGCAGCCTCAACCATTTTTAAAACAGAATCATTACAAAGGCAGGCCAGCCAAGCTGCCTTAGCCCTAAAAACTGGAGGTACTCTCAATAATGTTTAATAGATCTCAATAGACAGCAGCCAAGAGAGGGCTGATTAAGGACCTTCCCCAGCTGTTTCTCCTGAACAACACATGCAGTAACTTCCCCTAGTTTGTGTGTGCTTAAAATGGTATCATACGTTTCTGAAAATAGGTGGGGGGGACCTATTTCTGAAGCTTCACCCACAATCCATGTATTTGTATTGCCCATCTTTCAACACACAAGGGCTTTGCATGAGCCTGGCCAGGCCTTTGATAGTCCTGAGCATGCCTATCTCCTGCTTGCATTCCATGATAAGCACGTGCATCTGGATTTTCATGGCCACATGCTTTTGAAAGCTCAGCCCTGTGCTCTCCGTTTCCCTTTGAACTATTGCAGATTCTTATAGTAAAACCAGGAACTAAGGAACAGGGACACCCAAATCTGCTGTTCACTGTGCAGTTTCTGACTCAAAGATTGAAAAAGATTCCAAAATAAGACACCATGTTATGAGGAATTAATTTTGTTTTCATTTTCAAATGCAAATCCGCTCTACATATATTTAGATTTTGTTGTTTATATTAAGCTGGTCAGGGAGTTAATTGTTCCATGATATTGTTTTGTGTTTTAAAGAGCATATCTAAGCGAGCCTTGGGGAAAATCTTGCTGAGCACTTTGGAATCCTGTCGTGACCCCCAACATGGTAAGTAAAATAAAATATGTATGAAGAATAAGAAGTGTGCAAAGTACATTTGTAATTCAGAGTCACTTGGGAGGCAGATTATATACCTTGTAAACAGTAGACAGAAAAGCAAAAAGTCACTCACTTTCAAAGGGGGGGAAATTACTATGCAAGACCCCTACTAAAGCTGAAGGCTTCAAATCTTTGAAATTACAGAAACTGGGGCATCATGCCGAATCTTACCCTTAAGGTGAATTCTTCATCCCACTGAAATCAATAGGAGCCATCTGCACACATCCAAGGGCAGAAATTGCCCACAGGGCCAGATTTTGCCTTCTAAACACAGCAGTGTGGTTGCACAGGTATCAGAGAGCAGAATGTGGACCCCTAGTTTTTAGACTGACCACTCATCAACATTTACAATTCCATTGTCTAGAGCTCTTCTCTGCCTGACATAAAGAGAAGGTACAAAGGAAAGCAGCATCTTTCAGTAAAGTCAGTGGGTCAAACCTGCTCTCCTTTAATAGCAGCCTTTCGTGTTCTTATTACGAAAATTAAACTTGCAAACTCTATGGAAAGCCTATGGAAGAACCATGCAGGCTTCACAGCCTGGAGGTTTAAATTTGATTACTTTGTCCCTGTTAGCAGAGCTTTTACATTTTCCTTCTTCAAAGAAGCTGGCATACTGTACCCAGTCAGTTTGCATAGGAAGACTGCCTGTAGGGGCTTTTAATAGGCAGAGAGGGGTCAAAGAAGAGATAATGAAAGGGTAGATGCAGCCTGAGGGTTTGTTCTGCAGAATACTACAAACAGTAATTCAGGGAAAGTAACGTACAAAACGCACTGGTTTCCACGGAGCCTTCTTGCCAAATAAAAGGCTTGTCATTAGCATGCAGTGATTCAGTGTCCAGACATTCTTGAACAAAGTGGTGCCGCTCCAGCCCGAGTGTCCTGGGAACAGAGGGAAATGGCACAGCAAGCCCTTCTCCTGCTCCCAATGCACACACACAGAAGGCAGCCATACCTGAGCTGTAGGCCTGGGGAGCAAAAGAGAGGTGGTAGCTAGTGCCCTCAGAAGTACTAGCAGCTCCAGTGAGTACAGAGGAAGTGCTGGCAGTGCTCCATCTTATAGGGTAGCTGTCCAGCACTTCCCACAGCACCCAGGAGATATTATACCTACCTAACAGGGAAATAATTACTCCAAGCAGTGTCGCTGAGGCAGGGCCGGCTCCAGGGTTTTGGCTGCCCCAAGCAGCCAAACAAAAAAAACAAAACAAAAACAAAAAAAAAGCCGTGATCGCGATTTGTGGCACCAATTCGGCGGGAGGTCCTTCGCTCCGAGCAGGAGTGAGGGACCGTCCGCCGAATTGCCGCCAAACAGCTGGACGTGCCGCCCCTCTCCAAAGTGGCCGCCCCAAGCACCTGCTTGGTAAGCTGGTGCCTGGAGCCAGCCCTGCGCTGAGGCAATGTGCCCACTCCCTAACTCTAGCACAGCTCGGCCTCCAGAGATGCATAATTGAGAACCAAAGTATTTAATGAGGGAAATCTGATGAAGCCCAAATCAATATATTCTCTGTCTGTTCTGCATCACTTTTGCTATAAACTCCCTATGTTTCCTCTGCTTTGGATTTTCTGGCTTTGCACTTGATGTGACATGAGCTGCTTTCCAAAATCTCTGTAGTCAAACATTCTCTCACTGTGTGAGAATGCTACGCCAATGGCTGATTAGATTAGCTACATTTCGTTGATGTGACTTGAATCCAGTCTCCGTTTGAATGACGAGTAGGTATTTAGACCAGCAGGGTGTACCCATCCTTCAGGGATGGGTTTCAGGAAGTTTAACTGCTGATGCAGTGCAGCACATAGAGAGCCAATACATTTCAAAAATCAGTCTCTGTTCACACAAGGATGAGGGGATTTAATGAGCAGAGAGTTTGCAGTAGGAGGAACTGAAGAAGACTCAGTCCCTGTGTACTGTTCCATTCTGTGTCCCTTTGATATGCAGAAGAATTCATTCTCTGGTCTCCAAATTCAGAATTCTATATTTGAAATTGTTAAACTGCATCTTCCTGGCTTTGTCAATATGCTAATATATTTCGTAATTTTCTTTTAAAGGAAAAACCCACATTCTTGAGGTCCTAGATACTCTCTACCATGAGCTGGCTGCCTGTGAACTCCTACAAAGCAAGCCTCTAGAAAAAGCTCAAAGTCACCAGTCCTTGTCTAACCCACTGGTTATCTCTTGTTGAGCAACAGTGCCATCTACAGTTCATCGTGATTAGTCAAGTATCTAAAATCTTACCATGTTAAACAGAGGGTGGAAGAATGAGATTGCCGGATTTGGAGGAGTTCAATAATAAAGGGACAAGTTAGGACAACTAAGCCGTGAAATCACAGGTATACTGCTCTGGGAAGACCTCTAATTCCTCAGCTAACTTCGCAGCTGTCCACTATAAGTGTTCACATTTCATGAGAATTACTTAATGATGTCCATCTCTGAAGCCTAACAACCACCGCATTATGGCATTGTAACTGTACCAGTTCACCAAATGAAAAGTATTACAAATGCACTGACCAGCTCAATAGAGGAAAACCCCAAACTGAATAGCTGATTGTCGATTAGCTAGAGATTTTTCCTCTTCTGATAGCTGAACCAGTACATTAAATAGTGGAAGACAGACTAACTGGCTGACACATGTTGTTTTATTAAAGTACAAGAGACAAAATTGCTGTATTATAAAAATATATGCACACCAGTATATGCCAGTAGGGCAAGTTAAAGACCCATGTATAAATGTATGTGTTTGTGATTGTGATTATATATCTTATTTAACTCTAGAGATACATTTATGTTTCTGTTCATGCGGATTTTGTATTTTGTAATTACAAATCCATTAGAAGTGTGATTATGTTTTGATATTAATCTGTAACTGTCCTTGCTGATTATAATCTTAGATTTTATGTTAAACATTAAATTGCTTGGAAAAAAGTGAAGAATGATCTTGTTCCCCAAGTTGCCAGGAACTGGGAAGGCTGCAGAGACAGGGAGTGAAAGGAAGAAAGCTTCATATTACTCTTTCACCAACCAACTAGCAAATGATATACATGTAAGACATTCCCACCCCATATAGTCTAAGGCTACGTCTTCACTACCCGCCGATCCGGCGGGTAGCAATCGGTTTATCGGGGATCGACTTACCGCGTCTCGTGAGGACGCGGTAAAGTCGATCCCTGATGGCTCTACAGTCGACTCCGGAACTCCACCTCGACAAGAGGCGGTAGCGGAGTCGGCGGCAGCGCGGCAGCGGTCGACTTTCCCGCGTCCTCACCGCCAGGTAAGCCGACCTAAAATACGCAACTTCAGCTACGGTATTCACGTAGCTGAAGTTGCGTATCTTAGGTCGGAAGTCCGCTGTAGTGTAGACCTAGCCTAAGTGAGATTGTAAAGATACAAAGCAAGGCCTCATTTGCAGGCAAAGGGCTTGATGGAAGTAAAATGCTGGACATGCTCATGAAAGCATATATTCTGGTCAGTAATAAGAGAATTCCCAGGGACAAATATAAGAGGACAGTGTGTTGCGAAGTTGCTGTTGCTTCCTCACTCAATCATCAACAGAAGAAAATAAAAGGCAAAGCTCTTAAGACATTCTACTGAATCTATGTAATGAAAAAAGACGTACAGTAGGCTCTTCTGGGAATATGAAGAGAACTGGATTTACTTGAGATAACGCAGGGAACAAAAGGAGACAACTGAATTTAAAATTATGCAGATTAGAAACCACAGCCTTCCTAGGAAAAAGGTTTTTAGAGAAGGCTACTAAGAGGATCAGAGGAATGGAAAATCTACCTTATTAGAGGAGACTCAAGGAGCTCAGCTTGTTTAGTCTCACCAAACAAAGGCTGAAGGGAGATACGATTGCTCTCTCTAACCACATCAGAGGGATAAAACACCAGGGAGGGAGAGGAGTTATTTAAGTTAAGCACCAACGTTGACACAAGAACAAATGGATATACACTGGCCATCAACAAGTTTAGGCTTGAAATTAGACAAAGGTTTCTAACCAGAGGAGTAAAGTTCTGCAATGGCCTTTCAAGAGAAGTAGTGAGAGGCAAAAAAGCTAACTTGTTTTAAGACTAAGCTTGATAAGTTTATGGAAGGGATGGTATGATGAGGTTGCATGCAATGGCATATGGCCCATATGCAACTGCTATTAGCAAATATCTCTAATGGCCGGAGATGGGACATTAGATGGGGAAGGCTCTGAGCAACTACAGAGAATTCTTTCCCAGGTGTCTGGCTGGTGGGTCTCACCCACATGCTCCAGGTCTAACTGATCGCCACATTTGGGGACAGGAAGCAATTTTCAGATTAGCAGAGACCTTAGAGGTTTCTTCACCTTCCTCTGAAGCATGGGGCATGGGTTACTTGCAGGTTTATACTAGAGTAAATGGTGGATTCTCTGGTACTTGAAGTCTTTAAATAATGATTTGAGGCTTTCAGTAACTCAGCCAGGAGGTTATGTGCCTGTTATAGGAGTGGCTGGGTGAGGTTCTGTGGCCTGCGATCTGCAGGAAGTCAGATTAGATGATCATGATGATCCCTTCTGGCCATAACATCTATGAGTCTATAGCAAAATGGCTCAAACCACAATCCCATTTATTTTGTGGGGTTTTTTATTTTGTAGTCCTTCGTTTTCAGACCACATTGTGCTTATTGTGCAGGTGGATCACATCATCTGTGTACTTTCCATCCAAAATTGTACATGACGCTATATCATTAGCAATGTGTTCATAACAAAAATTTGCTATAGATATTTTCCACTCCTTTCGGGGAAGAAAAAGGGTATGGAAACAGTGAGCCAAATTCTGTCTTGTGTTACACCAGTGTTACTTCAGTAGGGTTACTGTGGATTTACACTGGGATAGCAGAGAGCAAAATTTGGCCCAGTGGATATACATTTTTACACACGTGCACATGCAAAATTAGGCTTAGGGCTTCTCTACATGGTGGGGTAATGCTTTCTACAGGGGTTTGATTTCTACATCATACTAGCATCTTGCACATTAATTGGTCCTGCTGGTGCACACTAAAGGTTCCCTAATGCACTTTAATGTAATATTATTTCAAACAGCACAGCATTAAAGCGCACCAGTGGGGTCTCCACCCAATCCATTAATGCACAATACATTAGGGTGCTTTAGAAATCACACCTCCACAAAGCACCCATCACGTAGACAAGGCCACAGATAGAGAGACAGTCGCAGTATAGGAGTAATCTTGCAGGCAAGGAAATTATGTACAAATATACAACAATGAAATATCAGATAAAAAGGGCACCATGTATTTCCTGTTTGTGTTCATTTCCTCCAAAGGCCAGAACAATGAGCCAGATCCTGCTCTGTGCATGCATTAAGAGGCAGAATTTGGTTTAGCATGACTGCTGCAAAATCCTTAAATACTGAACAGTAATTGTGTGTGTATTTGGTGGAAAAGGTGTGTAGGGAATCTGTTTATAATGCAAGTACATACCTGACTATATACTCCCACTAATGTGGAAGGTATCCTCAGTTCCTTGAATGTGTATTACTAATAAGCTGTGTATGGGTGATGGGGGTGGGGACGAATACTATAATTTTTTTCTGCCATTAGGTTTCTACTTCACTTTCTAACATAGCCTAGGTATCTAAAACATTAAGTAGTCTGTTGTCCCAATGAGAAACTGAAGGAGCAGTGTAACTTAGGTCTGGTCTATACTACCCGCCTGAATCGGCGGGTAGAAATCGACCTCTCGGGGATCGATTTATCGCGTCCCGTTGGGACGCGACAATCGATCCCCGAATCGGCGCTCTAACTCCACCAGGGGAGGTGGTAGTAAGCGCTGCCGACAAAAAGCCGCAGAAGTCGATTTTGCCGCCGTCCTCACAACGGGGTAAGTCGGCTGTGATACGTCGAATTCAGCTACGCTATTCACGTAGCTGAATTTGCGTATCTTAAATCGACTCCCCCCTGTAGTGTAGATGTAGCCTTAGATGCCCTGTAGCACAGACAAACAGCAATTAAGGTTAATTGGAGACAGAAAAGGTGTCTCTGTAATACAAGTTATTGCTGCTGCTAAGAGTAAGGTAAAAAACAGGTGCTAACAGGAAGCTTTTGCTAATTTCATTGCAATATAATGATTAGGTCAACATGGGAAGTAAAGGAATCTTGCCGTGTGAAACTGTTTTCCCTTTATGGTAATATTATCTAATTGTAAAAGAAATGGATCTCTCAGAGGTACCGTTTGTTTGAGTCTAGTCATCAGGGTGTCCTGGCTGGTCCTATTGATATTGGAACAAAATCTTGTCATCAGCATAACTGGACAGAATGCTTGGCCAATCCCTCTAAACCAGGATAGTCCAAGTACATCAGATCTTCCTAGTGAAAGAGGAATATTTAAAAAACAAACACTTAATATTGAATAAGATCAGATTTACTGTATCTCCATAGGCAGACTTCCGTCTTCAGTATAGACTGAGTGGCATTTCCATCACCAGCCCACTGCATGCTGAGTGTCTGAGGCAAAGCAGGGCACTGGTGATGCAGGAGAGCTACTTTGGTGGCCTAAAAAAAAGGAAATTAAAATGCATTTTAATGCATTTCCATTTAATATTTGTATACTCAGATTGAGTCAGTTGAAAGGGTGGATGAGGTTCCCAAACACTTCACACAAAGCTGGGCCAAGTTATGGTTTTGCATCAAATGCATGAAAATTCAACAACTACTACTCAAAACCAGATGGAGCTTATCAGTTTCACTAGTTATCTGGAGTTTGTTCAAACCGCAATCTCTAAGTGAAACTCAAGTGGGAGGAGAGGCTGTGCACAAAGCCACACAGATTGTAACCAAAGGAAACAGTCACACTACTCCCAGTGAAGCAAACCAGTGTTGCCAACTCTGACCAATTTATTACAAGTTTTCTGATATTTGGCTGTCTTCTGAAAGCCCCATCCCTCAGAGTCAAGTGGGAGAATCTCAGCTTTTAATAAAACAAAAAGAAAGGAAGTATCTTACCTTTAGGATTGCAGGAAAAAATTGAAAACATGACCAGAGTATACCTTTAAGGCTCAGAAGAGAGAAGAGAAAAAAAACCCAATTTTTTTTTTTTTTTTAAATCTCATGGGTGTTTTGGAACTTGACTTATAACTTTCGAACACAGAGTTGGCAATACTGCAAAACCTGCACATTTCATTCCAGTTTTCAAGCCTCAGAACAGTTGTTATACACACCCTTGACTGAGGTGTGACCTTACTAGGACTGCAAAATAAACTGCCTCTGAACTGTTATCAGCGCCCTCACAGTATCATGCTCTGCACCCACTCTTGTGGCACAAGATGGTATAACCAGTACTTTGTGGTTGTGTGAAAGACTCTCAAGTTTTAAAACCAACCTTGTTAAAAAATACAACCTTTTCCCTCACCCTAAAAAAAATAAATACACAGGATATAAATGCAGCCTCCTCTTCCCTCTCCCCCCCGCCAAAAAACCCCCAAAACTTCCATGTAAGAAATAAAGCTACAAGTCCAGGACCAAATTCTTGCATGCAATGTAGTACAGGATTGTTGCCCTCTGCTTTGCAGTAACAGCTGCCCAGGCCTTGCAGGTCAGCTTCCCAGTGCAGGAGAAATCAGTAACGAGAAATCTGGATATATTCTAGGTGTACAAGTGCAAACTCTCCTGCTGCTTGCCCAGCTCTCTCTACCTAGAACTCTGTGTAACAGAATGACCACTGCAACACTGCATCTTCCCAATACTGAACATTTGCTCACACATTAAGAAAAGGAACTTGGAACACTATGTGTAACAGTTCTACCAGGTGACACCTACCGTAACAATATAGTTTGGCTCTATTGTTATGCAAATGGAGACCCCTCACTCTAAAGTAGACTCCTACTACAATTGGAGTCCCATCCTCACATCAATCAGTTCTAGATTAA